CAAAATTAAGAATAAAATAAATAAGATTATACACTATATACATATATTATAGAATCGATTAAAATTAAAACTATGGAAATTGCCAGAAATTAATTATTTTATAAATTTAATAAATGTAAATAATACAATAATTTTGTTTAATCGGGTTGAAATTCTTTTTTTTTTATTTCAAAACTTATATTTAATACATTTTTATATTCAATTGGTATTATGATAAGTTTTAAGCAAAAAAATTTCGAATATAAAAAATAATTAATTTTCTAAAAACATTCCAATTTGGTAATTAAATAAAATTTTATCAAATTATTTTTCTTTACATATAAAATTTAACAAAACAAAAAAACAAATTTTTCTTAAATCTTGCTTGACATCAATTTTAATTTAAATTTATTATTAATAATATCAAATCTTCTATCGCTTATTATAAACTTATCGAACCTTTTTATTGAATTAGGCTTACAAAAACTTGTCAATTTCATAAAAGCTTTTTTTAATATTCTCGAGGCGATAGGGGGTTACATATATGTACATATGTAGGTAAAGAACAAAATTATTTACAAATAAAATAAAATCATTTTAGGTAAATAATTTTTTTTATTGTAAACTTCAAATAAGAATACAAAAGAAAAAGGAAAAAGGATTTTTTAAAATAATACCAAATTTTTTTTAGTTTTAAAAAAAAAAAGAACTTTTGTTTTTTTTTTTTTTTTGTGTATATATAATTAAATGTATGTAGGTAAAATTATATTTTTGAAGAATTACGAGCAAAAAAAAATTAAAAAAAAAACAAAAACCAACTCCTTATGATTTTAAATAAAAAGAAAAACAAAGAATTTAATTTAAATAATAATTTAAAAAAAAAACACGTATTTGTGAATGTGTGAGGGTGAAAATTAAAACAAAACAAAAAAAAAACTTAATTTAGAGATCTTTGAATTGATATTTATAAAAAAACAAAAACACAAAAAACATATAAAATGGATAAAATCTAAACCAACTGTGATATTGTAGTACGACACCCTACGGAGTGGATCACCTATTACAAAAAAAAAAATTAAAAATAAATAAAAACAAAAAAATATTTTTAACTAAATATAAAAATATAAATTAATTTAAATAAAAACAAATAAAGTTAATTATAAAAAAAAAAACTACAAAAGAAACTCAAAAACGTAACGATAACGTAAAAAAATTGCATAAAATAAAAAATATTTGTCATATTATTAAAAAAAAAAAAAACAAATAACAAAAATCAAAATAGAACACAACTAAATTGACTAAAAACAACAAAAAAAAATATATATATATATATATATAAAACCAAAAAATATATTATTATATTTAAATAAAATAAAATTATATTTGAAATAATTAATGAAAATAACAAAAATAAAGCAACAAATTCATAGTCTTTTTAAAAAACAAAAACACAAAAAAAATTATAAGTTTCAAAAAATCGAACCATTTGAAATATGAAACGAAAACAAAAATTCGAATTAACGTACATAAAAATAATAATTAATAATAAAATTGGGAATAAAAATGAAAAAATATGAACGCAATAACATTAATTATAAATAATATTGAATTTATAATAAAATAAATAAATATTATATAAAATTAACTATTATATAATTATAGTATATTAGTCCTGTTAATTTTTATCATATATGTATTTTTTTTTTTTTTAATTTTTAAATTTTTAAGATTCTTAAAATAGCTATATAAAAAAAAATTTTTTTTTTTTTAATTTTCAATATTTTATATTTTACAAAATTGTACTTGAATTTAAATAAAAAAAAAAAAACAAACTGTATTTGAGTAGATTATTTAAATAAATCTGTTCATCAAAAACAAAAATAAAAAATCTATTTTAACATTTTATAAAACACAGTAAATGATTTGCGTTTTTTAATAAATTTAATTTTTAAATTAATTAAATTATTTTTTAATAAGTATTTTAATAAAAACTATAATGTAATATTAAATAAATATTTTCAACAGCTTTTCTCAAAATACAATAACCGCAAAAAATTAATTATACTAAAACAAGAAATAAAAATAAATTTAAAAAATTACAGTAATAAATTAAAAATAAAAAAAAAAAAAACCATTTTATTTTATAAACAAATTAATTATATATAAATATTCAAGTAAATATAAAAAATAATTAAAAATATTCAAATTAAAAAATTTAATAAGCAAGCAAATCATTGAAAGTTTAAAAAAATGTTTTTCTTTTGTTTTATATATAAATATATAAATTTTCGTTGCAAAAAATTTAATTATGTAATATAAAAATCATTTTAAAAATATTTAAATGAAATTTATTTGAAAAGAAAAATTTAAAACTAAAAATAAATAAAAATTTTCTTTTAATCATTTAATTTTAATATTATATTTTATCCATTTTTTTTTTTGTTTTATGAAAATTTGCAAAAAAAAAGACATGTTATAGCGATTGAGCGCAATAATTTTAACGATTTAACTGAAAATTACTAAATAATTACATTTTTCACATTATCAATCAATATTTATAAATTTTTATTATATATTTTTTTTTAATTTAATACGCTTAACTAATGCAAGACGTATTAAATTTAATTAGGAGTTTTTATTTTTCGGTAAAAAATACCACAAATAAAATCCTCCTTATGACATATTCAGAATGTAGGAATTATTATAATGTTATTAGAAACATAAATTAGAAGAATAGTAAATTTTTTGAAAAATTAATTAAAAAATTGAATAAATGGAGATCATTTAAATCGGATTTCTTTTTTTTTTTTTCTACCAAGAATTCCTAAAACAGTCCAATCATTTTCATGATCATAATAAAAAAACAAAAACATTTTTTTAATAATAATAATTTTTAATAATTAATAAATAATTGATAAATATATCTATATCCGTCCATTAATCTAGTAGATCCCTAAAGTTCCAAAAAAAAAAAATTTAATTTTCAGAAAAATTAGAATTTTTTTTTTTTCTAATTAATCTTCTATTTAAATTTTATTGTTTATTGAATTCCAGCAAATTTATATTGTTCAGCAATTTAAAATGTATTGTTGAATAAATTCAGATTAACGTTAGATCTGCATTTTGATAAATGCCCCTAATATTATGTTTGCATACAAAGTAAGACAATTTTTAAAATAATCATTGTACAATTTATTTAAAAATTATGTTTTATTTAATTTTTGTGTTCATTCGCTATAATATATTATGGGTCAACCATTAAAATGAAAAAGAAATGTATAAAAAAAACATTAAATGATATAAAAATCTTGTATTGAAAAGTACTGTGCAAATTATTTTTTTATCAAAACTGACTGAAAAAATAATAAGATACTGCATTAATTAAATCAAGGGAACAGCGGCTAGAAGTTTTTATATAAGACTTTAATTATAAAAAAAAATTAATATCTTTAATTTTTCTGATAATTTTTTAGAATATTATGTTTTAATTATTACAATATGATTTTCGAAAATTACTTATAATACAATTTGTCCACACTGAAAAATATAAAAATTAAAAATTAAATTGTAAATGAAAAATGAATGAAATTTCTTTTTGAAATAAAAAATTGAAAAATTTTAAAATTGATTATAGTTGAATGAAAAATATTTAAAAATTAAAAATTAATTTTAATTTTAATTTTTTTCTTATTTTTACTTTTCATTCATAAATTGATTTATAATAAAAAAAAAAATACATAATAACTTTACGCAACGAAAGGTATACTTTTTACGTCCAATATAACAGATTTTTTTAAGTAAAAATATTATAATGAATAAATTATAAGTTAAAATAAATAATATTTGAATGTATCCCATTTTTTTCTTTTTTTTTGTTAAATTTGTGTAATAAAATAAAACTAAGAAACAAATAAAAAAAAAAAACAAAAAAATGTAAAACAATTATATATGTATATATATATAATATATATGTATATTATTAAAAATAAAACATTCTTATTACTAAACAAACAGAAAAAAAACATGTTACTTTGAATCATATAAATACATATAGATACATACATATATACATATATTGCAAATTTGTGAAAAAAAAATTAAATAAAGAAATATAAAAATGGCAATAAAAAGGGCCACAAAAGTTATTTTGTTTTATTTACTATTGGTATTTTCTAATTTATACTCATCTTCTTTAAAATTCTAACTTTTAAATTTAGTTCCAATCGATAATATGAAAGAATCTCTCTCTTTTTTATTTAAGTTTATAAGAACAAGTGGTGTAAAAATAAGGGGGTTTTCATTTATTCAATTCTAGAATAATTCTAACTTGTAGTACGTTCGAAAATTCACGCTACACACACTAAAAATATAGATCGTTCGTAAATTACTGGCTGCAATAAAGAAATGTTAGAAATGTAGCGCAGACCTCTAGTATAAATTTTGTCGCTGCCTTATGAAATTTTTTTCTTTTTTAATTTAAAATTCAAAAAAAATTTTAAATTTCAAAATGGCATATAGAAATATACATAATTTCATAAACAATGTCATTTATGTTATGTTCGAACGACAGATTATTTAGAAGCTTAAGAATTTGTAGACTGCGTAAATAAAAAAAAAGCTTAGCTAAAAATTTTGCAAAAATTTTTCGTATAATTATAAAAATTAATTTCAAAAAAGCAAACCTGTCGTTGACCTACATATATTCAGTTTAAATACATATATAATTTGACACAACCACAACTCTCTTTTGTGTTACCTTAAACAAGTTCAAAAACAAATTGATTCAAAAAGACAAACTTTTGCAAGTTATCTTTACATTTGCAATGTTTTATAAAAGAAATTTAGTTTATCTTTTTTTTTTCAATCTTATACGAAAAATGGCCATTTTTAAATTTGATACTAAATTTTATTTTAAAACACAAACGCTCGCTGTGAAAAATTCCCTTTTTTACTTGTAGGGTAAGATTGTCAAAAATTTTGACATCAAATATCTATAATAAGTAATGAAAAGAACTGTCATTTCAAAAATATTTACTTGTTTTTCTCAAGAATAATACATAAATTAGAAAAAAAAATAAATCTGAAGATCTTAAAAATACAATCAATTTGTGAGTTTGAATAAGTACTCCCGCAAGTCAGTTAAAAAAAATATATGTATATGATGAAACTGATAGTTTCGTTATTACTTTGTTTTTTAATACAAATTGTTAAATGTGATGATGGTGGAATGGATTTTGGAGATGCATTGGCATTGATTTTAGGACTTACCTTAGGTTTGTTTTGTTAGATAATACATTTACAAATATGTCTAATATTTTAAACAAATATTCAAAAATTTATATTGAGGACATAATATACATAACTTAAATTATAATTGTAACATTATGCCTTTTTAGGCGCAATTGGTATACTGGCTTGTTTAGGGAAATACGCAAGAAGAGTTGCTGCTAATCAATATATGTAGGGATTAATCGTTGGGACATACAAACTATTTATATTATTATAATGTAAAATATTAAAAATATATACGGAAAGTTTTTTTTTCAACAGTAACTCATTTCAAAACAATATTTTATACAGCACAATATATAGGTTATTAAAATATGATTAAAAGAATACTAAAAATGTGATTAAAAATAAACCTAAGAAATTATAAACAGTCTTTTTCATTATTTGTAAAATAAAAAACTAAGTCCTAAAATCAATAAGCAATCAATAACAATTCAGATAATTTATATTTTCTGATTGAAAACCTAGTATATATTACAAGTACACATGTATTTTTTGTTTTAGATAGTAGAGCTATACAATTTTTCATCAATGGGTTGGCTAATTCTCACTACCAAATCAAATATGAAGTTGTTGACAATTTCTAGAAATAAACAAATTATAAATGTTTTAAGAAATTTTTCACAGTTTTCTTATAACAATAATTTATCAATAGATAAAAATAGACAAAAATATGCGACACAAAATAAATATTCTAGTATAAATATTATACAAAAAAGAAATTTTGCGTTGAGTGAAAGTATTGCCGAATTTTATCAGACAATGTCAAATAGTACACCAGTGGCCTATATTCAACAGGGGCTTGTTGAAATCCATGATTTTACCGGTTTACCGTGGTGGGCTTCTATAATGCTATCTACATTTTTATTCCGTACTCTAGTAACTTTACCACTAGCTATTTACACAGTAAGTAAAAATTGTTTGAATTCATTTATACATTTTAACATTTGCAAACAATTTAGAATCAAATAACTGCACGAATAGAAAATATAACTTTGGAAATGCCCGCTATTGTAAAGGAATTAAAAAAAGAAACTGTTATTGCAATGAAACAGTACAACTGGGATGAAAAGAAGGCACGTTTGATTTATAATAGATCTGTAAGTATTTTAAAATCAGTAAAAAGTGAATTCAGGTAAAAATTTAAAATTAAATGAAAAAAAAATTCGGAATGCCGAAACCCGGGATTGAACCGGGGACCTTTAGATCTTCAGTCTAACGCTCTCCCAACTGAGCTATTTCGGCACATATAATAATTCAGCTTAAATTGACTTTTGTCAGGACTACCTTAATGTTTGAGTTTCTAGTTATACATTTGTACATATTTAATTAAAATACTTAAATACTCATAATAATTTAAGATTGCTTTCAGAATCATGAAGTTATGCTCAATGAAATTTATAGATTCAACAATGCCTGTTGAATAAAAATAGAATAACTTAAAATTTTTAAACGAACTAATTATTATAGTTAATATAATTGTATCACTTCTTAAATTTAATAACACAACGTTTCAGAGAAATAAAATCGGCAGATAAAAAAGCATGATCCTCTAATTTATATTCTTCTACTGATATAACAATATACATTTTGAATAATATCCCGCTTGGATTATAATAGACTGGTTATTAGACGTGGAATTTGAAATCACTTAATAAATAAGATTATTGTTATTTTGTATAAATTCAATAATATTAAGCAATATTTTCTTAAGCGAGTCTTTGACTAAAAACCTAAGACTTCTTAAAAAATTCATATATGTACATATGTATAAAATACTCCCATTATTCAACTTCTGATGGATATTACGTACTAGCATTTCAAAAATTTCATCATTTATGAAAAATACATAATCATTCATTTGAACATTTATAAAAACTAAAACAATTAATGTTTGTGAAAAATATGTTCAAAAAAACTAAAAAAAAATTGCGTATGCCGAAACCCGGGATTGAACCGGGGACCTTTAGATCTTCAGTCTAACGCTCTCCCAACTGAGCTATTTCGGCTTCTATTAATATTCTTTTATTATATTATTTATTTCTATATTCAAAAATATATCCTTTTTATTATAATTATATTATATTTTTAGTTAAAAAAACAATGGAATAAATTAATTGTTCGGGATAATTGCCATCCATTAAAAACTTTAATAATACTTTGGGGTCAAATACCTTTATGGATATGTCAATCAATTGCAATACGTAATCTTATATATTTATTACCAAATCCAAATTCATTAGAAGCACAAATTATTGCAACTCAATTAACTGTTGGTGGTTTTCTTTGGATACCGAATTTAACGGAAATTGATTCTTCTTTAATATTACCTATAACATTAGGAATATTGAATTTATCAATTATTGAGGTAATTTTATTACAATACAAAAAAAAAATTTTATATCCTTAAACATGCATACATTTACACACATATGTATGTTTATACATTATGTATAATATTATATTCAATTGAATTTTAAATTGATTTTTATGGTTTCTTTTCATAAACATCAAAGTAATATTCATATACTACAAATACATGAGTACTCGAATACATACTTTTCCCAAACATATAAAATATAAAAATATTTATAAAATATAATTTCATTGTAATATACATAACTATACAATATAATATATTGACAAAATATATAATTTAAAAGGATAAACCACAATTATTTTAAATTTTTTCATTAGCTACAAACGATGACTAAAAAAAAGGAAACCACAAGACTACAAAGGTATGCAGCAAATTTCTTCCGGATTTTAAGTGTAGGAATGATACCAATTGCAGCTAGTGTACCTTCGGTATGTAACCTTTCGGCTAATAGACTTAATATGCGTAACCAGTTTTCTAAAAACCTTTAATAAAATTTGAAAAACGAAAAAAAAAAAATATGTTTTGTAGTGATAAGCATAAAAAATTTTATAACTTCCTTTATTTTACAAATACTTTCACATTTTATTGTAGAAATTTTATTAAAATTACCCATAATATTTTTACCTAGAAAAATTTGTATTTATATAATACTTTTTAAAACATTAAATCATAGATTAAATATTTAAATTCTTTATGTTTTTTAGGCACTTTGCTTATATTGGGTTTCCTCTAGTGCTTATGGTGTTTTACAAAATTTAATTTTGCTGTCTCCTGATATACGAAGAAAAGTTGGAATTCCAAAAGTACAAAGTGAAATTGAAAATCCTTATCAGCATTTATTGGCTACAATGAAAAAAAGATATGGTTTCATATTTTTCAAATCTTAGTTGTTTTCAGTTACAAATCTTAGTTAGCTTTACAAACATAAAAATTTTATAATTTATTAAAGTAAAATAAATGTAAATGACAAAATTTTAGGAAATTGTTTAAACTAAATGGTTTAATTCTTTTACATCCTATAACCTTCATGCTGTGTTGTATATATTAAAAAATCAGGGTCTTCTTTCACAAAATGTAGCATTTGTTTTTCTCGAATATTGGCAATTATTAAAACTTCCCAGTTACCTACCGTTGAACTGATGATCTGTTTTAATAAAAGCATCACAATTATTTTCTCAATTAGATTTCTATTTCAGATTTGAGTTCATGTTACCATTTCTGAAGTCAAATTTTCTATTGTAAATGATTTGTTAAGTAAATCTTAAATTATTAATGAAATTCATAATTTTCTTTACAGCATTTGTTTATTTCTTAAGCTGAAAAGTGTAAACAAAACCAGATAAAAAATCTTAACAATTTTGTTAAATGGAAATTATATATATTATTTAAATTATCATGTAAATGAAAATTATATATATACATGTAAATGTGTATACATTTAAATTATTAAAAACTTCCGGTAAATTAAAGTTATTTCTTCTTTTTATTGTATATACAACGTCATTCTTGTGAGTAATAGTTTTGTAATCAGTAGGTAAATAGGTTTTACTGTTTTTTATCTTATCTTAATATGAAAAAAGGGAACACTAATTAATTTATAGTATTCTAAACGAAAAGAAATTTTACAAAATAGAAGCAAACAAAGGCATTATCTAAAATCTTATTTAAATAATCTTTTAAAATTTTGTCTTACTTTAACATACACAGTGTGTAACTTTTTATGATAATAAAATTACTTAATTATTTTTATTACTACCATAAAAGATTATTAGTATATCAGCATTATTATTTAAGACATTATCCAACCGAAAATCACTAATTTATTAAGAGAAACCTTTTATATAGGCTCTTTATTAACTATTACCACTAGATTAAATAATTTAATTATTTCTGTTTCACAAAATAATCTATAAAAGATTTGTGATTTATTATAATTTTTATGTTGTACTTTCAATTTGAACTACATATTTTTAATATTAATGTTCATTGAAGCAAGACCTCAATTATATGAAATTCTAATAAGTGATTGTTATTGTTTAGTAGATACTGAAAAATAATATTATCTACTTTTGTTCTTGTTTAATAATTTACCACATTCCATGAATCAAAATTAGGTGTATATTGTCCATACTGATATACGAATCATTATTCTATTTGATTTAAGCATTCATTATTAAAATAAAATATATGAATATGTAGGCATATAATAATAACAAATCTTGATTGTGTTGAATGAATTTAATTAAAATAATATAGAAAATGCATATAATGTCTATATAACAGTATATGTATATGCACATATCATAAACTCCTATAATGTGGGAGTATGTGGCACATATGCATTTTACTTTTTTTTTGAAAATTAGCACAAATACTGATATATGTATGGGCATTAGAAATTTTGGTACAAATTATTTCAGTTGCAGTTTAACTGTTATAAAAACTGTTATACATGTTGGTACAATTTCAAAAAATTTCAAAATATGTAGTTTTAATTAAATTGGTTTATTAAAGCAGCACTACAAGATCCAGGACAAAATAAGAAAAAAACAGCTGTTTACAAAAGAATTTGTTTCTTCTTGTTTTCTCTCTTAAAGATTGCTGAACATGGCACATGAAAATGTAAGATCAATATTTTGTTTTTTAAAATATCGTATTGGAATTTTTATATTCCAATTTCAATATTTATTTTACTTGTTAAATTATTAAGCGATGATTATGTTATCAATTCTATATTGTTTTGGAAAATTCACGAATAAATTAAGAATTTTCGAAATACACTCTGTATTAAGGATAACATAAATTATAATATGCTAGCAATAGCTACATCATATGTGTGTATTTATTCATTAATAATTATCATTGATTCTCTGTTTTTTTTCTTCTTCTTTAATTCTAATCTCTACTGAAGAGTGGATAATATTTCTGAAAATTTATTTCGTACATATGTATGCAAATATGTACACATGTACTCATAGTATTAGAAAAAAGAAAAAAAAAATTTCTAGAGTCTAGGATTATCACAAAAAAAAAAAAAAAAAATGCGAAGGTACAAAAACATTTTTTGCTTGTTTCTTTTTTTTTGTGTGTGTTTTTAAAAATTTTTATCCTTGATTTTTTTATTCATTTCAATTATATAGACACATCATATTGCACACATAATACACGTCTGCATTTAAATTTCATTATATTTGTTTTTTGTTTTCTTTTTACAATTTCTATAATACCTTTATTTTACAAGTTCAGAAACCAGAAAAACCAAAAATTTTAAACAAAATCTATTTAAACTATTTATCTACATATTTATATATGTATGTAGTTTTTTCTTCTTTTCAAAATATTGTAAAGATGAACAAATTTTTATGTGTACAAAATTTTCATTTTCAATTTAAAAGTCTATTCAATAGGCTCTAGCTACCTATATGTAAAACAGTAAATTTTATTTTAGTCTTCGTTGAACCGTTAAGCGCGATTGAAATAAAAATGTTAGAATAATTATTATAAAAGTTCTACTAGTATATTCTACGTACACAATCGTATAATAGAATAATAATAATGAAAAAACAAATAAAATAATAAAAAATATTTAATCAAGAAAATAAGAATAATTTTAAAATTAAATTAATGATAATAATTTAAGTGATTTTCCGTAATTACAATTTAAATAGTCCGAAATTATAAAATAATTTGAATGAAATTATTATAAAAATAAATTAATTATTTTTGTATTTTCGAATATGTTCGAAATACAAAAATATATATGAATAATTAAAATTATAACATAAAATTAAATTGATAACAAAAGTAATTTACAAAATTTTAAATATTTACAAATTTCCAATAATTTATTTACGAAATTCAATTAAATTTTCATATTTAATTTTAATTAAATAAAAATTTAAAATATAATTAATTTATTTGAAATTTTAAAAACCCCGAATGTATGCGAATTGTTTTTTCAATTTTAAATTCAAAAATTAATTGTTATACACACTGTAATTATACTAAACTAAATATTTATACTAAAATATTAAAGAGGGGGATTAATCAATGATTAAGATTTTTAATATTTTTATATAAAAATTACTTTATACAAGATGTCCGGAACTCAATCGTATTTTCGTAGTAGGGTGATATAGAATGACTCTACAGATGAATAGGAACTGTTCTCTTTAAATAAATACTTTATTTTAGTTAATTTTTTAATATTTTGACCTCTTGGTTTCGCCTGATAGAATCATTTTTTTTGTAATTTTTGCAACATTATATTATATCATATTGAAGTCTGAAATACAAAGGTCCTGTTCCTGGAAAAAGACGTTAAGTTACTAAGTTGTTGTTATGAGTAAATGACGATTAAAGGAAAATTCATTTATTAATGCACCACGGACACAACGTTAAAAGCGGAATTTCATCAGCTGAATAAATATACGTACACAAAATTAGTATACAAAATTGTAAATTCAATAATTGAAAAATTTGGACCATTTTCAGAAATTCCAATTTTTAGACGTCATACAACTCGAAAATGAGTGCTCAAAAGGCAAAACGTTATATTAGTTGTTTCTTGTATTCAGGTCTGGAGAAAATTTATCATCATACTGCGGGAGTACTATTGAGCCTCGAACACCTTGTATATTACAATTTAATTGTTAAATCAATTCTAAATTATCTTTTTTTTTTTATTAATTTTAAATTTCATGTCATATATTATGGTGTATTTCCCCTTACTTTATTTCTACGAACACCATACTGACATAATTCAGTTGTTTTTTTTTTTTTTTTCATTTATTTTCATTAATTTTTCACTTTAATTTATTGGTTCAAAATTGAAATATTATATATATTATTATTATGTACTACATAAATGTAAAAAAAAAAAAAAAATAAAATAATAAAAATTATAAAATGAAGTAAAATAGAAAAAGGTCTAAAGATCAATAAGAATATAACAATAATTTTTATGAATGATTCGTTTTACTTACAGTAAAATATTGATATATTTGTTCACTATAAGAACAATAAAAATTTTTTACATAAAATAAGAAAAACGGAAAATTAAATTATTTACGGTCCCCGTTTGTCTTCCTGTTTATTCGCTTCAACCTAATATCGTATTCAAGTTATTTTTTCAAATTGGGAATTTTTAGGGTTTTTGCAAAATTGTTTTTTTTATTTTTCAATATTAAGAAGGGAATCTGTGAAAATTTTTATATAAAGGATAACTGTGATAATTTCAACGTGAATACTCGTATTGTCTTTTGAATTCGAATTTACCTTCGTTTCAATTGACGCATCTTAATTTTTAAAATGATTCATATTTTATCGGACAACAAGTACAGCGCCGTATAGCGTATATGCTCTTTAAGGATTAATTTGGAACAAAATTTTTTCAGTGAACAATATTACACTCTTATTTACGAATATGATACACGCTGTACACAAAAAAATTGCTCATTTGGTGCAAGAGTGACATAACTCAAAAAATTCGATTTCTGATTGTTATTTATACAGAAATAAACACTCTTTCACACTCAAAACTCACTCACTCTTCACACTCAAAACATTTCTTTTTTGTTGCAAAAATTTCTTTTCTAAAATATCAAAATTATCGCAAACAACAAATTATAATATAAATAAAATAATGCTATACAATCCATTTTTTTACTCAAATAAGCAATTTTTGAGTTACGTTACAATTGCAGTAAACAAGTGATATATAAAAATATGAGTACCTATTTAAAATTTTTTAATTCCAAAATTTTGTGAAATGAATAAATATCCAAAATATTTCATATAAAAGAAATTGCAAAGGATCTCATATTAAGATTAATTGAAAAAATGTCATATAGGTATTACAAAAATATCATAATTCGTGAGGTTTATGTTACAACTATATAGATAACTCGCAATTATTGGTTTAGGAATATTGAATTTTAAAAATACAAAATTTAGCAATAATTTATAATGAAAATATCTAGTTTTGATATTATCATTTTCAGTTATTTAGGAACACTTTTAAGCTTAGATATTGGTGGCAGATGAAAGAGCATTCAATTTTATGACGCCTAGGTTAATTATCTAAAAATATAAAATTTTTGAGTTAACTAGTTGTAGTATTAGCCTCACGTTAGTTTTTCCCCTATATACGTGCGCTTCAAGTCCGAATTCAAACTCTGAAATAATATCAAAAATAAGCTTAAATTATAAAGGAAAAGAAAATTTTAAATTCGAATACTATAAGATGCGGATCAGTTTTAATTTCGAAAAGAAAAAATGATCATTCACATTATATATTACACTTCAATCACTCACACCCATATATACATACATGGATTTATAATAAACACATACATATATTTAATTAATATATATTTTCCATTCTATATACATACACACACATGTTCAATATAAATTTGAATTCATTCTGGCTATCATGGGCCGCGTATAATTTTTCTTATGTATGTACATACATATCTACATTTATTCTGGATGTTAGCAAAAATTGATATGATCATAATTTATATAAGAAAAACAAAAAAAAAAAACAAAAATAATAATAATAAAATTTTTATTTTGATTCATTCTTCTTAAGAATTTTCCTTGAAAAACAATAACAAAATCATATTAAAAAAAATATTGTAATAAATAAAAAATTATAATTTTTCTTTATATTTTCTTTTAAACATTTCTATTCATTACGAGAATTGTTCTTAAAGGAATAACATCGAATTATAAAGTGTTTGTTTCAGAAAAAAATTAAAAACATTGTTGCAAACTATGATTGTGAATTAAATATTACTAAAAATAATAAAAAAATTAAATTAAAATTTAATAGTGAAAATATTTAAAAAAAAATAAATAAAAAAAATCAAGTTTTAAATTTAAAAATTTACAGGAAAAAGCAAGAGTGTTTCCATACAGAAAAAATTAATATAAAATTATTAAAAATTTAATGTGAGAAAAAAAAAAGGAAAAAATATGGAAAAAATTAAAATAATCTTAGCAATTTTTTGCATATTTCTAATTCATTATAGTTCATCGGTATGTTTTGTAATTATTTAAAAAAAAATTATATAGATTTATTACAAAATTAATATAGATGCTATTAAATATAGTATAAGGACTAGTTGGTATTGCTTTGGTATTAAATTCGCAAATAATTTTAATTCCAAAGTAAAACTATTTTAAATTATTAAAGGATTTAATAAGACTACTATACCACTTGTATATTTCTGATTTAATTATAAAATTCCAGTTAGTGTTCTAAATATTTTTCACATAATATAAATTAATAATACAAATTAATTTTTCATTTTATCATTAATTATTTGAAATTATTAAACAAAAATTTTTGCGCGATTTACTTTCAAATTGCTAAATAGTGTTAGGCATTTAGGCAATTCAATTGAAATTAAAAAAAAATTACATATACTGTAATTAAATTTACTTATTTATACAGTAGAATTCGGTTAATATCAAATCGAAAAATGCATAGAATTTAGTGTAGATGCTATTTTGACGTTGCATCTATTAGCAAAATTTTAAAATTATTCATTTGGATTTTAGTAAATTTGATTTTGATAAATGTGATTTTAATTAACAACGTACTTTAAAATGAAATTGAACAGCTCTAAAAACGAAAATCGATACCTTTGCACTCGTATGTCACACTGGAGGTGACAATACTAATTTACTACTCTACAATTCGTATTTCAAACTGCAGGTGACAATACTAATTTACTACTCTACAATTCGTATGTTACATTGGAGTTGGCAATATTAATGTATATCTACAGACAATAGCACTAAATAACTGTAAAATTCATTTATGTTATTCGAAATCTTATACAAATTGACCACGTAACAACTTTGAAAATAAATCGAGTACAAAGGATTAAGCAAATTGTGAAATTAAATGAGTTGCCGTTATTCGATTGCAAATACATCTAGCATTATATAAGAATTTTTGGTACAGTGATGCTTATTTAAAAATAGGCGGGTTGTGAGACTATCGGATATGATTTTACACGGATTCTTATTTAAAAAAAAATATTTAATAATATTACACTTTTTTAATATTAATATTGAACAGTTTCTTAACATCATAATATTAATTTTTATTTTCGCTTTAATAGATGACCTTACAAGATTATTTTGTGTTTTCATTTATAAGACAAAAAAAATTTATACTGATAATAATTTTAATTTATTGTTGTTTTGGATTCTTCGAAATTTTAATTAAAAAAAAAAATATTATTATTTTTTTTTATTTACTAGGAATTCTTCTCTTTTATTATTAATTAATATTTGCGTTCTATATTATGATAGTACTCGTATATGCAGTTGAAATTACCCTTAAGAAAATTATAATTACAATTTTGGAATATAACAATGTGTTAGTTTTGTAAATGAATTGTAAATGTGTATGTAACGTATAAATGGGGTTTTTGTGAATTAAATTCATTCTAGTTTTATAACTTGTGTGATATGGTTTAGATAAGTTTTTAAAACTAGGATGAATTTAATCTAGTTTAAATTGTTATATACATATATGATTATTCTATACAACAAACCTGGATATATCTATTTATTGTGTAAGCATTTGTATATACACTCACACATTGCAACGGTCTTATCTTCTTGTGCAAATTTTTGATAAGAAATTTCTTATTCCCTGTGATATTTGCATCCATATGCGCTCTATTTTAAGTAACTAGTTTAAATGTCAATGTCATCAATATGTAAAATACATGTATGCACATGCATATGCGCATAAGTTTGTCTAGCTTCTATGCAATTTTTCTTGATTATTTCCATTCTTCCTTATTTGATAATAAGATTTTTTTAATATTAAAATAAACCAGGAGTTTTAAGTGCATTCAATTAAATTGGTTGTACATATTAACAATTAATAAATAATTTGTTCGCATAATTCAAAAAAATTTCAATTTTTTAAAACAAAATATTTAAAAAATAAATTACAAATAATATTACATGTGTGCATATGTATTTGAAATTCACAAATTATACGCATTTATAATGGAAAAATATATAAAGTGTAAACAAACATCTCTTTCTCCAGTTTTGTAAAACTATGTTATACATATTCTTCAACTGCAAAACTGTTATACGTTACTAAAGAAGCAACGTAGTATTCAGTTGAAGAATAAGTATAACAGTTTATAATTTATTATTAATAATAGTAATAAAATTTCACTGCCGCAATATTGGTACTGATGCATCTACCAGGAATTTTTACATATCTGTAGACCTACTTACATATTTAACTTTATAACAAAATTATTATTGTTAATATTCAATTTAAATACAAAATCGGCATCACTTCGGCAATCCGTTACATTTTATTAAAAAAAATTCTGACATCTTTTTTAATTGAGGCAATAAACCAATTCAAAATTTATTCTTCCAATTTAAATTTATGTGCATTTATCTTGTAATCGATCATAATTAATCCTTAATTGTTACAAATAAATATATATTTTTTTTGAGAATGAAAGATATTTGCCGCTTCTTTATGTGTTATTGTGTTCATACAAAAGTTGCATGCATATTATATTGAAATCAGGGACGAGGCGATAAACTAAAATTTAAAAGGGGTTTTTAGGGGAAAAAAATTTTTAAGTTATTTTTATGTAACTTTTATTATAGAATTTAAATTATAATAATTGAGTTATCAGTTTAGTTTGATAAAAGGGCTCAGTCAGACACGCGATTTTTAGTTTTGCAATTGCTGCTTGATTGTAGAATCGTTGCGAGCACATCTGACTAACAAAACTATTGCGTCAATTCAAATTGAATGCTTTAAATAAAAATTGCAATTAGTTTGTAAAAAATTACAAACTGTTTGATTGCTTTATTGTATGCGACAATACAATTGCATTTGGACATGTGACGATACAGTTGAAACACAAATAAAAAACAAAACATTTGACAAAAAATTGTATGTCTATCAGAGCCCTAAACGTATATAATGCTAAATATATTTGTATAATTAGCATTATAACTGTAATTAATACAGTATGGCAATAATTTACAATATCTGCTTAATATTTTTGATTTTAAAAGAGAATTGTATAATAGAGGCACGGTACTACATGTATTTCAAAATTAGCTACGCGCATATATTTGCTGCGGTAATGAAGCAAAACTGACTAAGTCAACTTGTCACGAAATCGATTTTTTTTTAACTGAGTACTAGCATGCTCTGCCGCTTTGAGATTATCTTAAATTAAGCGATTATACTAAATTCTGTTGACTAGTTAGTAATTAGAGTTTAGTTTTATATAATTCAGTTTTTCCAAAAAATTCTTGCAATTTTTAGATTTCTTGCGACTGATTAATAATTCCGATTAACTTAGTTTTGCTTTATAGCCATAGACTTTGCATTTACACATGCATATACCATATTATATACCCATATTAACTCATAACGGTACCAAAGTGCAAAACAAAAAAAAATGTCCTAAAATTTTTTTTTTGTATTTTTCTTTTGTAATAAAATAAATAAACAATTAAAAAAATTTCTAAGGAAAATGAACTTCTCTTGAAATTGAATGGAAAATTGAACAGCGACAATTAAAAGAACTAACATAAGACTTTTTATTTATTTGTCACATTTTTTTCGGAAAAATTAAAAACAAAAAGAGAAGAACAAAGAAAAAAAAGGAAAATTTTAATTTGAAAATGTCGATGACACCGGTTTTCTTGTTCTTTGTCGCGGAAAATTTCTTATAACTGACGGTACGTAATTTCTTTATACATTTGGTTCTTCTTTTTGTTATTATTTTCCATTGAAAATTTTTATTTAGGTGATTTGCGTGCCATTCATGAATCATTTTTGATTCAACATAAAAATTTTCATGTGATCTAATTCTTAATAATTTTCCTTTTTTTTTATTTTATTTATGCGTGTTCTCTTCCCTTTCTTTTCCTCTTTGATATTTTTATTTCATTTTAATTTCACTTCCCTGTAGTAGAAAGTACTATACATTCAATTTACTTACACATTTACACATAAGAGCGCGTAGAGATCAATTAAGTTGACATTGGTATAATAAAATTATTTTATAAATTGATGGCAATAATTTTGAATGAAAACAAAATTTTTTTCTTTTATTACTTTCGGTTTTTTGAATTGTTTGCTGACAATTTGTCTCACAATATCCAATTGCAATTGATTTTTTAGCCGGCAAAAAATTCCATGTTACTGTAAATAAATTATGATTCAATGAAAAATAATAAAACTTAAGACCGGAAAGATTCAGTAACGCAAATAGATTTTAATTATTAAGTATTGGAATTTCTGTGTTTCTAGAATTGAAAATTTAAGTTTGAATTCTCAAATACTATGTTTAGTAAAGGAAATTGAGGCCTCTACCTAAGTGCAGGATTATATTATTGATTATTTTCAATAATGCCTGCCTTCATTTGAGAGAATGAAAATAATCGTAATTTTAACTACTCCGAAATAGCTTTGAGAAATTTGTATGTAAATTAAAGGCCGTTTAGTATGAAAATCCTGTTATATAGAAATAAGAATAAATCGATTAAGGTGAAAATTTGACGGTAGTTTTCAACATAAAACCATCTTCTGGGATATATGCGTGATTATTATTGTCATCTACTACTTTATGTAGAATGGTGTAGTTTATACGTTGCGAAGATTATACCCACCTAAGTGGAACGCTAAAAGTAGTTATAATTTAGCATCATATATTTCAAAATTTACAAATATACATATTTAAAATATTTATTTATTTTTTTAATTTTAAATTTTTTTTCACTTCAAGATTTATATATCAAATGACGGAATCAAAACAAAACCTTCCTATAGTAATTATAATTCACAACAGTCACTATCACCTAATTATGAAAGCAACAAAAGGCAAAGTTTTAATAATTATAATCATCAACCATACAATTCAAATCGCTATGTCAACAAGCCTGATTCGTTGCCAGTAACATCATCTAGTCACAATCATAATCAATATCCACCACCACAAAACGATATTCATAGTGGAAATCGTAGAGAAATTATTCTAGATACAAACGTTCGTTTTGTTGAAGACAATATAGAAGCATATGGTAATGCATGTCCCCCAGGAATAACTGGTCTTTTTCCATATAAATATGATTGTCGTCGATTTTTAAATTGCTGGCAAGGTAGAGGATATGTTCAGCCATGTGGTGCTGGAACATTGTTCAATCCAATTAGTTTAGAGTGTGATCATCCACATAAAGTAAATTGTCAAATAGGAGATCAAATTAGAACAACATATACTCCATCACATCAACATGAAAATTCTAGACAAGGAAGATTATTAGGTGCTGTTAACACAAATGTACCTGTTAATTCAATCAGTGATGATTCAGTTGGTTGTAGTCCAGGTCATACAGGATTATTAGCACATCCATTTGTATGCAATAAATTTTTAAATTGTGACCACGGACGTACTCATATACAAATATGTGGACCCGGCACTGTATTTAATCCATTGAAAAATGTTTGTGATTTTCCCGAAAAAGTCGATTGTAATGGAAAAGTTGTTGTTAAAATTGACGTTGAAATCGATGAAACTCAAATTAATCCGAACCATAGCGGTTCAAAAATTAGAAGTAATGTTTTATATGATTTTTTTTTCTTCATTTTCTAAATTTATATAATTTTTATGATTGCAGATTATCCTACATCTAACTATCATGCTTCAACTGGTCGCCATTATACTTCTTCGAACACTGATCAAGATTTTCAAGGATCTTCACATCATAATTCTCATAGCGCAACTAGACAGCAAAATATTCCAGTTTGGCCAAATGAACAAATATCTCGACCACAAGATCGCAACTATCCAACTAACAGACAAGAAATAAGTGGATCAAATCAACACACTATACCTGTATGGACAGCTGAAGACACTACAACAACAAGAAGTAATTATGGATTAGTTGATAATACACAAAGTCGCACATATTATCCGCAATATCCTTCAGTTTATTCTGGAGAAATTAATAAAACTCACAATACACAGTATCCAGCAAACACACAATCCACACAAACATCTATTCCTTTTTGGCCCTCACACATACCTATTGACACCACTAAACGTCCCATAACAGTTATTCCAACCACAACTAGACGAACAACAAGTTCGCCGACCCAAATTTCTACATATCACCAGCCCACTTTGAATCCACAGTCCTCATCTTCCCAAAGAAAACCATTTAATCCAAATATCAATTTAAATATTAATAATACTATAGCTTCGTCTGACGAAACGGGCAATATTACAAATATTTACTTTGCCGAACCTGTAGATTACGATTCTGATGAATATTTTGGTGGTATAGCAGGAAGCGATATATATTCACAAAACAAGCCGGTTTATAATCCTTACCATGAAGAATCACAATCTTCAAATAAACACTACATTCCTAGTTCAAGAATAAATTTAACTTCTACTAGTCGACAAGATTTTTCTTCTTCAGGCTCAAGCATTAATCAAATTCACATTCCTAATAGGGACTATGATGTACCAGTTCTGAGCAGAGATGTTCCTCAATCTCATTCGCATATTATTCCGCCTCCAAATCATTTAATGCCCCCTCATATGCCCACTAAAACGCCTTCCACAACAACAAGTACATCAAGAGTATTTCCAGCAACTCAAGAAACTGGAACTACAAATATAAGAACTTATACGAGTAACCGAGACCAAATCCAATTGAATAAACCAGTTGAAGCTGATGTACAAAGACCTCTATATAGCCCATCTTATTCTGGTGTAGCACATTCAAGGGAGGGTTACCAAAAAAATTTTAATATACACTCTGAAAACTCCAAAAGAACACAATCGTCACCTCCAATAGAATTCAGCAGAGATAATTTTAACAATAGGGAATCTGATATTAACCCGGCTGCATCCCATTCATATCCTATATATGTACGTCCATCTTCTGAAAGTCCAATCCAAAAACCAATAACACATCCATCAACTAATTTTCAACCAACATATCATTTACCTAACGCTTATAACAAAAAATATTCGCCAAGCAATTCACCAGCAAGCTCTGTAATAAATACTAAAGAAATTAGCCAAAGCACAGATACTAACACTGATGATATTGAAAATTTGCCATTGAGTGAAGCTTTAAAGCTGCTTTTGCGGCCTTATGTTGCTAAAAGTAATTCAAGCTTACCTGATAATGCAATTAAAAATATGGAATCACAGCTCGTTGACCTTGAACAAAAGCAACAAAAAGAAAATATTAAAAAAGAAGTTGAAATTATTGTTACAGAGGAACAAAAGCATTTGACACAACAACAGTTAAATCAGACCGAAACTTCAAATTATGATGCAGCTAGTAATCAAAATAATGGAAATATTCAAAGGCAAAATCGAGGATATAATGGTTATCATAATCACAATTTCAATCATCATCATTCAAAGGAATTCCATCAGAGAAATCCACATATCCCCTACCCAAATCAACATGGACATTCTAGAGAATTTCATGAAAGACATCCTAACATTCCAAATCCATTTCGAGATGAAGATGATGACACACCGATTTGGAATAGACACGAACCCACAACACCAAGGAGCACACCACTTTATCCAGTCACAACTACAAGAAAAACTGTAGATGAAGATGATATTCGTGAAACAGTTACGACAAGAACATATAGAGAAGACTATGAAAAATCTCTAAATAAAGATTTTAATATAGAAACGAATTCCCCATCAATTGGAGCAGGTGGTATTAAGGGAAAGCCTAATAACAATTGTGAATTTAATTGTGGAAATGGAAGATGTGTCAAACATTTCCAGGTAAATTATAACAAAAAATTGGAAGTTAGTGAGAAGTAAAAACAAATAAATATTTCAATTCAAATTACTTAGGTTTGCGACGGTGTAAATAATTGCGGTAATCGAAAAGATGAAAGTGGATGCTCACAGTTAGGATATAAAGTTCGTTTAAATAGTAAAGATGGAGCTGAAAACGAAGGCAGAGTGGAAGTTAGAAGTATAGATTTATTATTGAAATTTATTTCAAAAAATTTTTATTTAATGTTTCTCCATGTTATAGTAAATGGTAAATGGGGTTACATTTGTGATGACAAATTTGACATAAAGGATGCGAATGTTGTTTGTCGTGAACTTGGTTTTCCATTCGGCGCAAGTGAAGTTCGAGCAAACTCATACTACTTACCAACAGTTGACATGATGAGTTCGTATAACAATGTTTCATTTGTTATGGATGAAGTTGATTGTAAGGGTAATGAAACTTCATTGCAAGAATGTGATTTCAAGGGATGGGGTGTACACGATTGCAATGCTGATGAAGTTGTTGGAGTAGTTTGTAAGCAGGCTGTTATGAAATGTCCAAATGAACTCTGGTTGTGTAGCAAATCAAAGCAATGTATTCCTTCATCGTTTTTGTGTGATAATGTAGTAGATTGTGATGATGGATCTGATGAAAGCGATGCTGTTTGTAATGTAAGTAAACATTTAAGAAAAGTTAAAAATATCCAAATAAAGAAAAAAATATTCAATTTAGTCTAAAATCGAATATCGCCTTTCAAATGGAAAAAACAGACTTGAAGGGAGAGTGGAAATAAAATATCGAAATGAATGGGGTACAATTTGTGACGATGATTTTGGTGTCAAAGAAGCTCAAGTTATTTGCAATGCTTTAGGATTTTATGGTCCAGCTGTAAGGCTATTCAACTTTTTCATTTATTTAAAAATTCTTTTTCAAACATTTATTTTTAGGAGGTAATCAAAAATACATATGGTCCAGGATACGGCCCAATATGGTTGGATCAAGTAGTGTGTAGGGGTAATGAAACCTGCTTAGATCAATGTAATCACTGGACTTGGGGTCAACATAACTGCAATCACACAGAAGATGTTAGCATCCGTTGTTCAATAGGCTCATCGAAACCAACTCACGTTCGATCAGAAATATCGACAAAAACTAAATCAGCTTTAAAAGGAAAATCTGAATTTGATGAAGATGAAGAAAATGAATTAGATTATTTTATGCACAGCCCTAGATCAAGCAAATACTTAAGTTTTGAAAAGCCGAAATGTGGACGTCCAAACAGAAATATTATCGATGAAGAATTCGATGAAAGAATGATGCAAAGAATAATTCATGGAGGTGAAGTTAGACGTGGGCAACACCCATGGCAAGCAACAATTAGAATTAAAGGAATCAACGGAATAAGTAATCATTTATGCGGAGCTGTTTTAATATCTAGAAGGCATCTGTTGACAGGTTTATATAATAAATTAAAATAAGATATCAATTGAAATTATTTTTATGAATTTATTTTAGCTGCTCATTGTATAAGTGACTACGAAAAAGGAGCATTCTTTATTCGTTTAGCCGATCATAGAACTTATGAAGATGATCCTGAAGAAAGAGATGTTTTTATTCACGATTGGTATATTCATGAAAAATATAGAAGTGGAAATCACATGAATAATGACATTGCCTTAATTGTTATAAAAAATCCAGTCGAAAGTACTGACTATATTCAACCGATATGTTTACCAAATGGTAAAATTGAATATGAAAATGGAAAAATGTGTACAATATCTGGATGGGGATCAGAAAGAACTGGAACTTCTGGTAATTTTTTTTTAATTTTAAATTAAAATTTACCTTTTAAACATTAAAAAAAAAAATTCTAAATTTTTAGCTCCATCTAAAGTTTTACGAGCTGCTAAAATACCAATTTTAAATGATACAATATGCAAACAGCCTGATGTTTATGGAAATCATATAACTGAAGGAATGTTCTGCGCTGGATATTTAGATGGTAAAGTTGATGCATGTGATGGTGATTCTGGTGGACCAATGGTTTGTACAGAAGGAGGTTGGTATCTCTTTTTTATTTAATTGATGAAAACTATTTATAAAATATTAACATAAACATTTTTGTTTTTAGATTCTGAAGTTCTTTATGGTATAACATCATGGGGACTACGATGTGGTTCAGAAAATAAACCTGGTGTATATGTTAAAATTTCAGAATATTTAGATTGGATTAAAAACAAAATAAATATATCAATGCAATCACTTAGTCACAGATAAAATATAAATGTAGAAATTTACTTTACCAAAAAAATATAAATAATTTAAGAAAATCCTTACCAAAGCCATAATTAGTAGATAAGTTCAATTAAATAGATTAGATTAGAATAAAAGGAAAAAAATAAAATAAAATTTATTTATAAAGAGAATTATTTTGTCTATAATTTTAATTAGAAATAATTGCATATGTTTAGGATGAACGTATTAATTTTTAAACAAAATTTAAGAAGTTGAACTAAAGGTATACTGCATTACAATACAAAAGAGATAAACCATCATACATATATGTATGTACATCCAATCCACATATAGTATATAAAATGTTACAGTTATTTACATATACATACATCTATTACATAGCGCATAAATTAAATATGTATACAAATGTGCTTTTCACGTGTACAGAAAAAAAAATACATACACCGCTTTTATGGGATGAAAATGGATTTAATTCTTTACCTTAAACTAAATATTGAAGGAATTTAAGGCAATACAATTTTTAAACTGGGTTTATTTATGCTTGTATTTCTTTCAAAAGAAAATTCGTAACAACGTAGTGAAAGCTTCAAAATTTTCAAAATTTTGCAATTTTATTTTTCTCTTAACAAATATTGAGCAATTCTCGTCTTGATATAATTTCAAATTTTCTTAAATTTCTTATTGATAAAAAAATAAAAATCTTTACGGATCTGGAAAGTCTTATATATGTAAACACCACATACCTAGATAATTTTATCGAAATGACCTTGACCTCACCTGAAAAAACAACTTGAAAGTCCTTAAACATTGGAAATAACTCAACATTTCTTTTTAGCTCATATAAAGAAAAACTGAAAATAGCACTCAAATTATGTACTCAATTGAAAAAAAAAAAAATCCTTCTTTTAATTTTAACATTATGAGTGTGAGTTAAATGCATTTATGAAATTCTTACTCATTCTCATTTCTCTTCATTCCACTAAAATTGAATATGCGCAAGAAAAAAAACAAATTAATTTTAAATATTGTAGAATAATTTCCAAATAGAATGTAAGTACAATTTATTAATTTTTAATTTTTACTACTATGAATGCATGATTTTATATGCATATATATGTATACTCATATATACTTATTCATTTATGTATATGGATGTGTATGCTCAAGAAATTAATTCTAATGTCAAATATACTTGCAAGTACAATTCAACAAACAAAATTATGTTATATGAGACAATTATTAATTATGACAATTATTAAATTTTTCGGACTTATTATGTATGTATGTATGTTAATATCCAAAATCTCACTGCAAATTTTAATTAACAAAATTTGAATAATTAGACTTTTTATATTATTCAACTAGTCCCCGAACAACAACAGCAGGTAGAAAGAATTTTGATTAGGTCACATTAAAACTTATACACAGTTAATAGGAGCTCTCGGCCATTTAATAAAATTAAATAAATCTGGAATTTTACATTTTTTTTAAAATTCAAATTTACAAATTCAAATTTTTTAATTGATAATCAAGCTACATATTATGTCATTTCGAAATTTTAGAATATAGGTATATTGTTATTAATGTATGAGTCTACATATATAATGTTTATAGATCATCATGGAAAATCTCTTTTTCTGGCCTTTCAATATTATATTTACTTGATCCTGGCTCTATAATCCACGGGAACAGAATTATACTAAAAATTCTAAACATTTAAAAAAAGCAACCGATATGCCGCGAACAACGTAAGATTATATAAAAGGTTTAATTAAAATTTTTCTAAATTTTGACAAACACATTTGTTGGTTAAAATAAAATAAGCACTAAAACATATTTGTTATTTTATTGTGGTTTTTCTAAATAAATGCCATGAGTTTACGTTTATCTATTAAAATATATTTTTTTCATTTAAAGCTTCTTTTAAAATATTCAATAAATTATGTAATGACAGCTGTATACATGAAAAAACTGCGTTCCAAAATCAATTATGTTTCAAACGAAATTGAAAATGTTGATTTTATTTCAATTAATTATAACCAGCTGCAAACTATGGATTTACATTGAATTCTCTCAAAAATAATCAGAAGAAGTAATTGTTATTTATATTGTTATACGAAACACAAACATTACAGAAATTTTTTTAAGAATCTATTATAACATTTTCAAAATAATTTTCCACTGCATAAACGCATTAAACAACTCGAAAAACGAGAAATTTTATTTGTTAGTCATTGTTAATGTGATTAACTTTATACATCAAATTAATTAAAATTTATATATTCAGATGTATTTAGATATACATACATGCATATGTACATATATAAAGTGTGCTATTTTCGTATTGCACATACAAATGTTACACATACTAAGTCTAACACCAAATTCATTAAATTATTTCAAGTTTAAAAATAATTACAAAAAAAGCAATATACAGCAGCAAAATGATTATAATTTGCCCAAAAAAAAATTAAAAGTCTAAATTAGGTTCAAGCAAATTATATTGAGTGAGTGATAAGAATAAGCTTTTAAAAAATTTGCAATGCAAGGCAAAAAAATAAAAACAGAGAAAAAAAAAAATTCTATGAACTCAGCACATAATAGTCATCACTTCTCTATATTATAGTGAAAAAATTTTACTCGATACAGTTTGTAATACTGCCAGACTAAAAAACTATATGTTGTCATCGATAATTAAAATAATTATGTGCTTTTAAAATTTCAGTCCTATAAAATATTTTGCAAATATAAAAGAGTTAGACACTGTTTACCTTTACGACAAAATCTAAGATTAAATCGTAAATAAATTTTAGTGACTGTGTTAATGTGAGAGCGCTTAGACCTTCCTTCAAAATGTAATAATTTTAATACAAAAATAAAACATTACAAAAGCCGATCGCTGCTCCAAACTACCAATAAAAAATTAATTACCGGAATTTTACTTTTAAAAAAATCTGACAGAAAATTTAATGATAATATAGAGCGATTTCTATTTCTTTTCCATCAGTCAAAGTCTGTTACCAAACAGTTATTTTAATTTGCCTAATTTATTTTACAAGAAAAAATGTAATAATCACAGACTGGATACTTGTTAAAAATAATAAAACATTTATATATCTAATTCAATAATTTATGTTATACATATAACAACTTCAAAAATATAATAATTAAATAAAATTAATTTCATAAGAATTTTTGCAATAATTAAAATTTATTTGATAATAATGATGACGAAAAAAACTCATATTTAAATCTAATAATCTTAGTTTCTAATTAATTATATCTGGCAGCACTATTCAATATTCAAGAACTAATATTTATATTTTAGAAAAATTCTCTCCATATATTCTCACAGTATTTTTTTAAAATCAGATTGAAAGAGAGGTGCTTTTTTAAAAAAAAAAAAAATTTTATTTACGTTTTTTTCCCTTTATATTGTTGTCTTTTGGATAAAAGCTGTTGTATAATAATTACGAGAATATTGAACGGTTCTTATAAAATAAGTTTTTCTTTAAAAACAAACAAAAAAAAGGAATATATTATACATACAATATAATATTAAATAGGTACTTACTTACATATTTTTATATTTACATACATTTGTATATTTTGTTTGGAACATTTGACAGTATCCCTTTAGTACAATAAATAGTATACATATAAGTAGTATAAAAGCTGGAGTAAAAGAAAGAAAAAAATTGGTAATACTAAAATTCATACATACACATGTTCGTATATACTCCATTTATATAACATTTAGTATATATATAACACAAAATGTATTTGCATTAAAATATTTCACTCAAAAAAAAATTGTGGAAGAAAAAAAGAAATTTTTATAAAAGTGGAGCTAAGATTGGAAAACGCAATAAAATTTTTTTTATTCTATATATAAAACTGTCATACACTGTATTGTTGAAGAAATTGCAAGAAAAAATTTACTACCTAAAAAAAAATCTCTAAAAATTTATTAAGAAAAAAAAAAGAATAGTGTTTTCTAATTTCTATTTTGTTAAAATTTTTAAAATTATATAAAAAAATTATAATTAAAAAATAAAAAAATAAAGAAAAGGTACAATTTATTTAAAATATAAAAAGCTTTAAACTAAGAATATTAAAGGCTCACTAATTGTTAAATCATAAATTATTTTTATTTGTTGCAAATTGGAATTTTTGTTAAAATATTTAAGTTAATCTCTAGTCATTAAAAACAAAAAAGAAAACTTTTATACTAAAAAAAATTCTTATTATTACCTGTTTTTGAGTTAAAATTTAAAAAAATTTTTAACATTTAAATTAAATAGACTGTTTGTTAACCTTATATACTTATATTTATAATATTAATATTAAATATTGTTGGTAACCCTAATCAATATTTTATTTCTGGAACAAAAATTATTTGTCATTATACATTATATACATTTTGTATATCAGTTTATATAGCTACATACTATATACATCGTATGAAACTAAAATAGTATAACAAAAACAATTTACCAATTTAATAATAGTAGAAGAAAATTAATTGTGTTCAAATTCTAACTAAATTGGATATTAAATACATACATATATTATATAAATTAGGTAAATATTAAAAATAAATTGAATTTTTCATGTGAAATTGTACATATTATGTATATATGTATTTTGTTATAATTTTTTAAGTAAAATTTGTGAAAGTTATTATCATTATACTTACATATGTATGTATATACAATATAAAGTAAAAAGCTTTTATTTTCAATATTTATTTTTGTCTTTTCAATATAAAAATCCTTAATATTATTATTATATTATTAAAAAATTTTATTAATAAAATAATATTATTAAATAATTTCTAAAATTAACAAAATAAATGTACATACGTACCTATATAATAAATTCTTAACAAAATAATAATAAAAATTATATTGGTAAGTGACGTAATGAAATTATTTAAGTATACGCATATGTGTATGTATGTATATTAATTATAAAAGTGAATTGTCAGTGTAAAAACAAAAAAACAAAAATTTTTTTTTTATTTTTTTTTTCATTATCATTAAAAAAGTGTATTATAATAATGGTTTATTTACTATTCAATAGATAGAGGTGATGTTGAATTTAATTTTTATCTCTGAGACTAAAATATTTTAAATGTAAATACGTAAATAATGTGAATATATTTTATAGTAGGTACCTAATACCTATAACATTACTGATATACATGTATAATATTATTTATTTTTTTTATATATGTACATTATTATAACACTTTAGTCATCTTCTTGTTTTTTCATTATTTTATTTATTTATTATATTATTATTGTCTAATTTCTATTTATTTTTCTATACTCGCTCACTCTCTCTAATATACTTACATATATGCTGTGACTGTGTGTTGAATGAGTAATAAAATGTTGAATTTGTGAAATAAGTTTACTTATAACGAAAAGAGAAAAATTAGTGTTAAATATTTATAAAAAAAAAAAAAATTTAAAAATATAAAAATTAATACATACATAAAATATTTCTTATGTGTAATTTTATTAATCTTTCATACATCAATAAAAACTTTAAAAATTTTACAAATCAAAAAGATTCATTAAAAAAAAAAAAAACACAAATAGCCGGTATAAAAGTTAACAAATTTGCCGGTTTTTATTACTTTTCATTTGCTACATACATACATATGTATGTATGTATGTATTTTCTGACAGAAAATCAATTTTTGTCCAAATCAAATTTTTAAAACGTGATAAAATAATTATAATTTTTATTATAATTTAATATTTTTATTGGTATTAATTAACATGCGTTTATAATTTTATAGTTATCGTATACCACTTATGTATATAGTAAGTGAATTTCATGTATTTTTATTGTTATTTTCAATACTCAAGTACATGTGTATGCATATGGGAAAATTTACTCAATAATCTCATTTATCAAATATTTTGACATTTTAGTCAATAATACCTCGTTTCGCAAATGCTTTATAATACATAAATAATAACATTAAGTATATACTTAAAAAAATTTAAAGTTAATAATGTCTAATAGCCACAATTAATATTTGAAAAATGTAGTGCGAATGTTGCAATATATCAGCATACAAACTTCTTTTATTTCGCTTATGTATTACACACTAGTTTCTCCATTCATCTCATTTGTAAAGTAGAGACTCAAAAACTTTCTAGTTGTAACGGGATAACAATAATTAGTACTCCTTCCATATATAAGTTCATATGTACGTACTTGATTAAATTATAATTAAGTAATTTAGTTGTGTTTCTTAAGTAAATTTCTTTTGCCGAATTATTTGAACTTTTAAAAATAGATTCATTAACAAAATAATACACGAGTAACATTATTCATTGTTGATATTGTAAAAAATACCAATGCATATCTCACTTTTCAAAATGTATTGCAAATGAATTTTAAGCTACAAATGTACAAGTATCATCCTATTGTAATTTTGAAGAACAACTATAACATGTATGTGTGCATGTGAATATTCAAGAATATTACTTGTTTCTAAAACCATGTTTCTATACATACCTTTCACAAATATTTATTTTTCAAATATATATGTATATAAGTATGTTATATTGCAAACAAATTAAAGAAAAGACAAAAAATTAAAAATAAATTTTTAAATTTAAAAAATTTTCATTTCAAATAAGAATATGTTTAAAGTCCAAAGTTAAATAAACTTTTTAAAATTGTTATTTTTAATTTCACATTTCGCATTTCGAAAATATATGAAGTAGGTTTATTATTATAAATAATAATATGAATATAAAATATAGTTATAGATGTAAAATTCAAAACTAGAAAATAGTCAATAAGAAAAAAATATTAAAAAATTGTTGTCAAAAGTCTAACCCTCGCTTTACCGCAGTATAAACCTTTTATTAGAAATAATAAAAATGTGCCTAAAATTCTTTACAATATTACACAGCAAGTATACCTACATATATTTTAATTAGACATTAAATAAATTAAATTTTGAAGTTTTAATTATTGTATAAGTTGGAAACCCTGAATTAATTAGTGAACAAATTATTTTATTAATATTATTAGTACAATTCGGTGTTACATACAAGTACTACATCAGAAATTATTGAATTCAAGCGAAAACTTTTGGAATCAAAAAATAAATTTTAACAGGATTAAATGAATGGGTTAAAAGCTTATGTACATACTCTTATTGCCACAGTAAACTGGTAGTTAAATGTTTTTATTATAACAAAAATTCAACTTGTATTTAAAAAAAAAAAAATTACTCGTACAATTCTTTCATTATTTTATATTAAATGTATTAGTAATTTTTGAATGAACAATGTTACGGCAATCGTCTGTAACTTTTAGATAATAAAGCAAATGTACATATGTATGTATGTATATATGTATGTATGCAAGAAGTGAATTTTACTTATTTTGCAGATAAAACATAGTGATTGACATAACGGTGATTAAAATCTTGTAATTTTTGGATTTTTGCAACAGTAAAAATTGAAGTAATCTTGTAACTCAAGAATGGATAATACGTTACTGTTAAAAGCTGAAAATTGCAGAAAATTATTAAAGTTGACATTTAATTTTTGAAAGAATTAGACACTTAAAAATTTTATTTACTTAATGTTAATTGACTTAAAAAATTCTAATGTCTCATATAGGGGACTAATAATATGTATTTGATATTTCTCGAACTTTCATTGGTAAAATGGAATGGAAAATTTTCCTTCTTTAATTCTGGAAATTACCTTTTACCGTAACATAATATAAATTTACATACATATATTATGTACATGAATAAATGTGCATACACAACTTATATACAGTAAAACACGATTGTTTTGGACACTTTTTAGTAGTACAGTACATAAAATTGTTCGAATATGTGAATCTATTTTTATGTGTAATTAACAAATTTATGACTGAATGATGTAATATTACTGTGCGCTTGTAAAATTTGGTTCCGAACCATTAGCGAGGTTACACTTGTATTTTTAAAAGAAATGAAATTACTGTGTTCAAATGAAGTTATTACGTAAAATTTTTCAGTTTTCATTTAATTTGAAATAAAATTCTATATTTTACACAAAATTCTGAAAATAAATTGAAATTCTTTCAATTGAATAACATACTTCCAATTAACCATATTCTACTGTATACCTACATGAGAAAAATCGTAATTTCTATATATGCATTCTATTTGTTATACATACTGTGTATATTTTATTCTTCGAAAAAAATTTTGCAACAATTTCCTGAAAATAGATTTGACTAAAATAATATTTTTACTTCATTTCGAATTTTTTTTCTTATTTTGTTTTATTTTATTTTTTTATTTTATTATATCTCTCTTTTGGATTTTCGGACTAAAGATGAAATAACGTAAATTGTAATTATATAGTACATAATATGCTCATATACCGGCAGCCGGCAATCACAATTTTGTAAACTTTTAAATATTTTTTTTCTTCTGGATAAATTAATTAAGTAATATAAATAATCAAATTCATAAATTAGTAAAAAAAATTTTTTTTTTAAAAAATAAATTTTATAATAAATACAAAAGTATTTTAAATTGTAAATTTCTGAGGAAATAATTAATAAAATGTGAGCATTTTGTGTTTTAAAAAAAAATGTGTATATTTAGTGCATAAGTACTTAAGTACATTTGTATTAGCTTTTAAAATGGTTAATTCTCGTAAAGTATATACAGTGCATATACGTATAAACATAAATATGTGTGTTTAAAATGAATTAGTTAAAAATTCATACAATTTTCAGTGTTACATAACTACTTTAATTGTTGAGTATTGCAAGAAATATTGTGGAAAATTTACAAAAATAAATATGACTTTTTTTTTTTTTGTTGTGAAAATCAAAATTTTTGAAGATTTTAGTGAAATTTCATTTGCTTCAAATATGAAAATTAAAAAAAACGAAAAGGGAAATGTGTTTTTTGTAATGTCAAATTTATTATATTTTCTTAAACACTTTCTATTTGGAATATACATAATTTTTTTTTTTCATTTTGTTTCATCATCCATCACACTCGTAAAAAAGTTTTTCAATTGAATATAAAAATTTTTGGCTTTTGACCAAATATTACGTTGTTTCTTACATTACGAGAAAATGAGAATCTCTTTTACTACTTCCTATATATTTTATTATATACTAAACTATATACATATATGTATATATACATATCATGTTCATTATTTACAATTCGAATTAATTAGTAACTAGTTACGAAAGGATGTTATTATGTTACAAAATATTCATAAATCTTGATTGTGTGAAAAAGCATAAAATTATTTATTTACTTTCTTATTTTCATCGATTTGTAATTAATTGACATTTCATATCAATAATTTATAATATATATGTACATAAGTATTATAATTATCAATTTATGGTGAACCACAATGAATTCGAGAAAATTTATAAAAAAACTTCTTTCATTAATTAAAATGCATTCTGTGCAAATACATGAAAATTATTAAAATTTGTAAACGTTTGAAATTTTCCTATACACCCACATAATTTTGACCTATATGAATTATTAACCAAGAAAATTTTTTAACCCCGCATTTTCATAATATACACATAGTTACAATAAGAATGGCCGCTGTATAACATGAATTGTCAAATTTATTTCATTATGAAGTTTAGATTCTGTTTAACATGATTAAATAACAATAATTAATTGCGAGTATGTCAATTTTATGTCAATTAATAAAATTACAAAAAACAATTAAATAATTTTTATGCCAAATAATAAAACAAAGGGATGAATTATATTTTAATAAAATTTGCATGAATTTATATTTAAATCGTCTGCCTAGTCATTACATTTATTGGGTTTCACTTCCAAGCGGGCAATATTCTATTTTAAATAATGGCCGTATTAACATTTCAAAAAATGTAAATGGATGTGTAAAGATGAATGCATAGTATGTCGAAAGATGGATGTGATGATTAGAATAGTTAATTATAAATTAATTGCTCAATGTCATATGCACAATTTAATAATTTAAATCCGGCAAAAAATTTATACTTATACATAATTCAATGCACAAATTATAAATTTTTATCATCACTGCACAGTTCTTAGCATTAATAGACTACTTATAAATCACATTTTAATTTATAATTCATAAGTTTTTAATTATTTTCTCAGACAGTAAAAATATTGTATAGTCACGCTTCGTCAAATTAATCATGAATTAATTAAAAAGGTTTTAGTATTAAATTTTAGCAGTAACAGTATAGATTTTGGCTGTCTTACTAGAAAATATTTTTGTGTTTGTTTATATGTGCAAGTATTTAGGTATATTGATTTATTACGAAATCAATAATTATACCTCAAATATCTTTATTATTAAAATTTAATTTACATTATTCAAATATTTTTCTTTTATTTTCAGAATACTTAAAAAATGTTCGGCTTATGGTATCTATCTTTAGCAATTGACGAATTGCGGTAAGTTAATTTTAATTATCTAAAAAATAAAAAATAAATAAATTTTTTTTTGAAAAAACATAAAAAATTATACATAAAATATAAATTTAAGAAAAATTTTAGCGCTATATCACAGATCTTTACCTTTCATATCTCATTTACTTAAAATATACAACAATTATAATGCTTTGTGAACTTAATATTAATTCACAATATTAAAATTATTCAACAGCTGCTTTTTTTACTTGCTTAAATTAATTCACAGTAGTATTTGAGAAAAAAAAATATTAACTTTGCTTTTTCGCCCATCTTAGAAAAAGCTTTCAAGTTTATCAAATCAACAAACACAGACATTTACTTAAATTTAATTATAATTAGAATTGCATAAGTTAAGGCGAAAAAGAAATTATTTTTTGAGTAAAAAGAAATGTAGTTTTGAGTGAAAATTTATTTTCATTTACAATATTAGGTACTAAAATAATTTTTCTTTTGTAAATAAATAATAAAGAAGTAAAAAAAAATAATTCTCAACTTGGTGAACATATACAATATTAAACATACTATATGGGTACCTATGTACATAATATATATAAGTATGTATGTACTTTGAAATGAAAAAACCATAAATAAATAGGTAAAAAAATCAGTGATATTTTTTTTATCTTTAAAAAATTAGTTATTTTTTTTTTATGTTTTCTTGCATTACATAAAGGATAATTTTTGTATCTCATCTTCTTCATCAATATTGATTTTAAAGTTTTAGGGTAAACACTGTAAACTATTTATGTATAACTTGATTACATAACTATTAAGTATATTATAGAGAAAATTTAAGTTATGAAATTTCATTTTAGTTAGAACAAATAGTTATTAAAGCAAAAAATTCAACAGGCTCTTCGTTCAAATAGGCTCACCGTATATACAATAAATATAGAGGGTGTACAATGAATTTCAGTCCTGTTATTAAACAATTTACCTTATATATTGGAATAATAAACATATGTATATAAATGCCTCTATACATGAATTTATGGAAATCAACAATTTGCGTTATTTTGATTTAAATCATTGTTTTTCGACATACTATGCAATATGATTAGTTTAAAATGTTGAAAAACTAATGAAAGACAAATATTCCTAAAGATTCATATAATTTATATATAGGACAATATATTTTATATTTATTTAGCAAGAAATTTACAAAAAGAAAAATTTTTTTTTAAATATTTTATAAAACGTTTGACACACGCTTATAAATTAAATTGATATAGAATAGCGTGAGTGTTTTAAAATTGTGAATTCCCCCTTTGTTATTGTTATTTACATGTTTCTTATTATTTAATTATGTCCCGGTTATTCGAAGAAATGTTATTCATTCTTAATAATTTTAAAAAAGATTTTCTATTGTTCAAACAAATTAATTTTTTAATGAATGTGAAGACCATTTAACAATTTTCACTCCAAAGAGTTTTTCAACTTAAAAATTCCATTCAATATGAAAACATAGTAACTTTAAAAAAGATACTGGAAAAATTTATAAACAGAGAAAGTATTCTTAAAATATAAACGCCATGAAATGCTTACATCCCATTTTTTGTTTTTAATAAATTTGAAAACAAAGTATGAACCTTAATTATTTCAATTATTTTCAATTTTTCATCGCTTCAAATCCCTTAAAATTTCTTATACCTAATAATAAGACACTTCGCGTAGTCTGTTTGTTTGAAATTCTAATTCTTAAATTAAAATTTTACTTCAAAATTTTTGTTTTTTTTTCTAGGATCCAAACGCGTGCATAATACACCAATTTCTATATTATTATTCTATAAAACATGTCATACTTATTTAAATTTTAAATGCATCACTGATGAACCAAATGAAAAAATCATAATATTAATAAGAGCATAAATTAAAATTTAATTCTTTTAAAGATGAATTTAAAAAAAAAAAAATTTGGATTATCAAAATATTAAAATATTCAAGAATCACATTTCAAAACAAAATACATATGTATTTGTATATTATATATATATATAAATATGTATGTAAGTTCAAAAACCAAAAATAAGTAATCCAACAAAATGTTTAGAAAGAAAAAAAAAATTTTTTATATCTTAAATATTTTTTTCAATAAATTTATATTATGCATGCTCGCAGTTTACTATACAGTATAACATTATAATATAAAAATATTTAAGATAATTTATGTATATTATGTATATATATTATATATTTAAATATTATATACTAAACAATGTAAAGAAACAAGTATAAAATAAAAGCAAAATTATTATATCTATTTTTATATTTTAAAATAAAAAATGATTTCCTCCTGGCAGTTTGCCTTAAAATTCACACACGAAAATAACCAAAAAAACAACAATAGTATAACATGACACGATCTGCTTCAATTATATAGTATCTCTGAAAATTTTCATGAAAAAATTTCTTCAAAAAGAAAAACATAAAAATGTTGAAAATAAAATAATTTTCATTTATAAAATAAAAGCCGCCCGGTAATATTTGTGTTGTTTTTTTGCTTTACTTTCGAAAAATTTTTCTTATATATATATTTTTTTTTTGTTTCAAATAATTTTCACAAAAATAGAAGTAAAAATTTTAAAATTTTCATTTAAATTCAAGAAAAAAAAATTTCTATTTTCTTAAACATTTTTTGTTTTTTGGTTTCATCTTGGGCATTCCTTATTATATTTTTTTCAGAGATTTTCTAAGAAATATTTTACCCCAAACCTCCAAAGAAAAGAAAAATTTCAAAATTTGTCACAGAAAAGAAAAAAAAATACCACTGCAGGAGAAAAAAACAATTTATTGTATAAGAAAGTAAAAAAATTTCTATTTAATTTTTGTTCTATTTTCCTTTAATTATTTTTTCCTTGTATGTGGTAAAAAGCTAAAAAAAAAAAATTATTTTAAATTTTAAGACTTTTTTTTTTGTATCAAATCTCAAGAAATCTTAAGCTAAAATAATTATTAAATTGAAATTATTTTAAAATATGTTTGAATTAGTTCTCTTTAGTCTAGAATATTAATTCTAATGTTTTTTTTTAGTCCTAATTTAAAAGATGCCTGTCATCCAAAATGCGTCCATTTTATAAAATAAAAAATTTATACAATGTAGCAAGATATAAGTAGTTTTAACGACGCAGTAAGAAAGTATAAAGGGTGTAGTAAAAAAACCGAGATTACAATGTTCTCGTTATTTGAGTTTTCTTATGGTGTTAATACTGCATTTTGGAATTTACGCAAGAATTATGCATAATAATCTGATTTTAATGAAAAAATATGTAATAAAATAAAATTTTGTACATATTGTATAATGTCCAATGAATTTCTCTTAAACAAAATTTCAAACTTAATTGAAAATTTTCAGGAATTCCTACAAAACTAACTTGCATTTTAAAATATGACTTTTTGTATTAAATAGTGTTTATAATCTTGTATATTACAGGAGCAAATATCACTTTATATTTCAGCTATTTTAAGTAATTTTAAAAACTGTTAATTAAACGATGCTCCCGAAGAACAAGAATTTCAAAACCATCTTCCAATTTATTAATAACCAATTGTGTATAGTAAGATAATTAATAATCTTTCAATTGTATAATTTGTTTCGTAATCTCTGACGTTTTAGTGTATTCATTTTATTACTGAAATTCTTTATTAAATTCTACTCAACTCAAATTCACAACTCAAACCGATTACAACTGAAAGCTTATATGTATATCATTGTGAATAGCAATATAAAATATTATGTAATCACTTACATACATACTTATATAAAATTTGATTTTCTTTACAAATTCTAGTATATATTTAAGATAAAAATCAAAATTTTACAACTATTTTTTACATCACCGGATGCAACATAAATTTACATACATATTTCCTTTTCATTTTTCAAAAATTATTAATAATTTCGTAATTGACAAATCTTGTCAAAATATTCAAAATATTTTAAAATTTTTTCTTGAATATTGTTCAATAAATTTTAAATAATAATAAAGAATTCAATATTTTCTTTTAAAAATCGTAAATAAATGTCAAATATTTCATTTGAATGGCTACATTATTATTGTACAATTATTATTGTTCTTTAAAATTGAAATTAATTGTAAAAATTAACAATTATTATATTTTGAGTCAATAAAAACATTTACATATTCACAATTAACAATATTTATTATCAATAATTAAAAATATATTATTATACGCAATATGCACGTACGTATGTATGTACTATGTACTTTATATCAAGAAATGTGTGCAATTTTAATAATAGAACGCGTTCTTTACGATTCTAAATAGTTTTGAATTTTTAATTGACCATGAATAATTTAAATTTTTTGGAGTGAATTTCATTTTATATTTCATTTTATTTTTAATTTTTAATTGAAAAAAATGTTCTTACAAAAGAATAAAAGTGAAAATTTTTAGCGAATTATACTATCGTTAAATACGATATTAAACAAGGGATTCCAAGACAAAAAAAAAAGTACTTAAAAACTTTTGAAAAAAAATTTTTTAATTATTTTTTAATCATTTAGAATTGCCCTAAATCAAGGTTCTTAATTCACAGCCATTTTTTAAATTTAAATTTCGATACGCCTTACAGCTACGTCCAAATTTCAAATATTTCCCAAAACTTCATCATACTCGAATGTATATAGCCATTCTTCATTTCAATATTCAGTCCATTTCTCTTGATGATTGTACCTACGGCAATATTAAAAGTATTAATTCAATTTTGTAATTATATTATTATTATATTTGTATGTACAATCATACTTACATATATTTTCTGTTCTACACCTTCATATTCACAATTTTATATTTAAAATCAGATATTCAATACTATTTTAAATGTGCAATATAATTATTTCAAATTTCCCAGGCATAGCTAGTCTCATTAAATTTCAGATTTTATTACTTGCTTTTTAAATTATAAACACAGACAATTTGTATACAAAATATATTTAGTTATACGTATATACTTATATTTA